TATAATTTACCACGCTTTCAGCAAAAAATCACTCTTTTGATTCCTTCATTCCATGACTTGAATGTTCAACAAGTCCTATCAAAATTTTGAGCTTTATTTGGAAAATTGAGCTATTTATATTCAAAAAGTTCAAGAACAAGTTTACTGTAAATTTACTCAAATTTATAATCAAAAACAGGTTAATTGTTGCTCCTTTTTTGAAGTATTCTCTATTATCTTTACTTCTGTCCACAGTCAGGCAAAGCTTGTACTTTTTCTTTGATTTTTTGAGCTCCTTTTCGTATTGATGTCAAAAGATCAAGTTCTGTATAGCTTTTTCTGAGCACTTATATTCGGTATTTTCAAGTAGAGAAGCACATTTCATCCTATTTAACTTTTGATGAACTGGAGATGACTCAATTGAATGTCTTCCCATTTGCACCTCAATTGAAAAATGTGATCCAACATGCAGACATTCCAACATAGGTACAAGGTCCAACACCAATAATTACATCCAAATCTAAGGTTCTCACTATAAATATTTGACAATTTATCATAAATGCATCCTCTTGACTAACTTGCACAAAAACAAAACAGCAATTTAACCTTTTGATGGTGGCAAGTCAAATTCCATCCTGGGCAGCAGTGCCAGGATTTATTTGCAAAATATTGTGCTACAAGGAAAATTGAAAAACAAGAAAGCAAAAATTATCAGAAAAGCCAAAGTACAGAAAATCCCAATTTTTTAGCATTTCTGCAGTGACATTTTTGTCGAGGAAAGTAAAAAAATTGCATTGGGTGGCATTTTTCTGCATTCCTGCCATAGGATTAGCATTGAACAATTTTGAGAATAATGGCATACCCTTCCCCAGATTTTTCCTTACTTTGGCTATATTTTGGTGACCTTTGGTCAAACCAAAATGCACAAACATGCAAAAATATCCCAGCACTGCCGCAGGATGGAATTTGACTTGCCACCATCAAAAGGTTAAATTGCTGTTTTGTTTTTGTGCAAGTTAGTCAAGAGGATGCATTTATGATAAATTGTCAAATATTTATAGTGAGAACCTTAGATTTGGATGTAATTATTGGTGTTGGACCTTGTACCTATGTTGGAATGTCTGCATGTTGGATCACATTTTTCAATTGAGGTGCAAATGGGAAGACATTCAATTGAGTCATCTCCAGTTCATCAAAAGTTAAATAGGATGAAATGTGCTTCTCTACTTGAAAATACCGAATATAAGTGCTCAGAAAAAGCTATACAGAACTTGATCTTTTGACATCAATACGAAAAGGAGCTCAAAAAATCAAAGAAAAAGTACAAGCTTTGCCTGACTGTGGACAGAAGTAAAGATAATAGAGAATACTTCAAAAAAGGAGCAACAATTAACCTGTTTTTGATTATAAATTTGAGTAAATTTACAGTAAACTTGTTCTTGAACTTTTTGAATATAAATAGCTCAATTTTCCAAATAAAGCTCAAAATTTTGATAGGACTTGTTGAACATTCAAGTCATGGAATGAAGGAATCAAAAGAGTGATTTTTTGCTGAAAGCGTGGTAAATTATAAAGGTTATCAAAAATTTTGATTGAAATATATGTAAAGAAGATACTGTATTGTCAAATCGTGGTTACATTAAATAAAGTAGGAATGAGTCAAACTTGTTCTGTTTCAACTACGTTAGCGCATTCGTCTCTTTACGTCATATGAAGAAAAAATTACGTAATTAGGAAAAATTATTGTTTTTTCTAGAAAAAATTACGTGAGTAAAATTACGTAATTAGAAAAAATAAGTGAGGAGAGGGTTTTTTGTATGACTAAACTCTCTGCATACCAAGAAACCTGTGCTTCAATGAAAAATATTTTATTGTGATGCCTTTTCATTCCTTTTTTCCCAAGACAGGTCTCATGATTTTTAATTACTTTTTTTTTCAGAGTCTTCGACTTTATTCAACAAGACCAGCAGCCCAGCGGAAAAACGCTTCGAAAGCAGCAATACGTACAGATCAATGAACTACACGGAAATGAGTTCTGGAGGCGAGGAAAAATTGTATTCGTCCTTGTCCCGGTCGCAGAATTCCCCCAGCAGAATTTCAGACGAAACAGTGCAAACCATCAACGACTTGGTTGACGCAGGTCCTGCTTCCACCTTCAAACTGGTTCCTGTCCACAAGCAATCAGGGTTCGTCATCAGTGCCAATGATGCGTCGCAGTCGGATATCAAGGTGATCCAACATATCATTCAGCCTTTCAGAGAACAACTTTTTTGAGTACCGTACATTTGTCAACAAAAGCCTGATTCATTAGACTGTTCAGTGGTCTGGGGTTTTAAATGGCAATGACGGGTGTCCTGTACTGTATTGTGGAGGAATTATTCATAAAGCATGAAATAATGCATAACCCATATTGGGTTACAGTGCTGGGATTTATCAGCACCATTTTGTGCCACAAGGAGTAAAGAAAAAATCATCAAAAGAGCCAAAGTTGGGAAAAATCCCAAATTTTTTTAACATCCCTGCAGAAAGGGGATTTGGTTGTGGAAATCTTGATTGAACCTTGTGAATGCTGAAAAGCGGCAAATGAAGTGTTCTGTTCATCCATTCATTCACATTCCTGCAGAAACATTTTCATTAAAAAGAAGTTTATTGTTCGGTGACATTTTTTCTGCATTCCTGCCATAGGATTAGAATTGAAAGGTTTTCAGAATAATGGATTTCCCTTTCCTTGATTTTTTGCAACTTTGACTACTCAGCCAAAGTGGCATTTCACTGGCCTTTGGTGAAACCAAAATGAACAAGAGTGCAAAAAACCCAGCACTACTGCATATTGGAAAATGACCAACTGCCACCCAAGAGGGTTAATACAATTGGGACCTCAGCATATGGAAAATTCAACTTGGCAAAACTCAACTCTTGCGCTAGGCCTGTATACCCATGAGCACTGGAAAATTAAAAACAACTGTACTTTTGTACCAATGCCCAAGTCAGGAAAAATTTAAATATATTTCTATATTCCTGATGAAGTTTTGCCTAAATCAAATTCTCAGTAGGTGGAATTCTTTCATGCATTTGTATAAAAGGATGAACATTGGACATTTCTAAAGGCAAAAAGGACATTGTCCACCCAGATTTTTCCCAACTTAGACCTGTCCAACCTGGGGACATTTCAGTGACCTTTGGTCAAACTGAAATGCCCCTAACCTTTGAAAAATCCTGAATCTACCACAGGATCAACATAGGAATCTTCTGTCATTCAAGGGTTAAAATTAAAAAATAAGTCTGCCTCAACAGCAGGATGTCTCAAAATACAGAAATTTTCCCAGCATTTCTAAAAAAAAGAAGATTTTATTTATCAAAAATTGGAATGTATTTTGCACCAATTGAGCTACTCCTTATTCACAACAACAAAAATGAATTGTATGCTAAATTTACTCAACTTCATGATCAAGACAAGCTTTTTTGAGTATATACTGCATGTTTCATCATCTGTCTACAGTATAGCAAGACTTGTTCTTGTTCTTTGCTTCTTGTGCTCTTTTTGATACAAGAAGCTCAGATTTTGTGTGGTTTTTTTTCTGCACAGTGATATCCTGGATTTTGATGTTGAGAAATTTTTTTTTCATTTTTGGAATTGATCCTATAATTTTTGATAAACTCGAGAACCAATTACTCCAATTGAAGTCTGAGGGCAAATTTTATTCAACATGCAGACACTCCAACATACGGACAGGTTAAAGTACCAATTACGTCCGCATCTTGGGGCCCCACTCATTAAACAAAAAAAACTCAGTGGCTGAATGTCAGATGTTGGCTTCACCTCTAAAACTATAATGTTGATGCTCAGCCATCAGAATTTGCACATGTTAAAGAACTCAATATCTTTACAAATGTTCATGTTTTGGAACACAAAGGACTTTGATTTACAAACTTTCTTCCTCAAATACTGTTTTTCCTCGTTCCTAGGTAATTATAAAAGATGAAACCCATGGCTGTCAATTATTGCATCGCATCACGGACAACTTGGATGGAACTTTCACAATCCACTTCACGCCTGCAGAAGCTGCAGATATTAAAATTGACGTTTCAGTGAAAAACAAGAAGGTCAAAGGTTCGTAATTTATTCGACGAATTTTGAAAAGATTCAATTGTGCAAATGTGTTCTTCTATATTTCACAGGATGTCCGATTCAAATGTACTCCTACGATGCATCGCAAATCCGTGTTGGCGTCATTCCCGATGGTTCTGTTGGCAAGCCTGTTGAATTCTC